GTGTTTGTGTGTGTGTGTTTGTATAATATTCTTGATTTAAAGCATACATTGAGAAGTGTTCAAACAAACCACAGTTATTGTTGGTCGAATGTTAGCACTGCTGGGCCATCATTGCTCAAGGATAATTTAACCATTAATCAAGAAGCTACTATGTGTACATCTATGAATCCTACTCCATAAAAGCTCCCAGGGGAAGGTGTGATTACCTAAAAAGGTTGTGCAACAAAACATTAAGTTCAGAGAACCATAATTTTTGTTCAGGCCAGTTTCATTAGAAGTTTTTAAATTGATTCTGTTAAACCCCAATTCAAAAGAAATGTCTGATTTTCATTAGTTAATTTTCACTAAATTTTGATTTATTATTACTTTTTGTCAGTTTCAAGTTATTTTAGTGACCGTTTTTCTTTCTTTAACAGAAGGGTACCAACAATTTTGTTAATGTGTGTATTTGTTCATTCATATACACAGTAACATATGTTACATCAGTGCCTTTTGTTTTTGTTTGTTTGTTAAAATCCATTTTTAGAAGAGATCGCTGTTGTCGCTGTTAGCTGACTAAAGACGTGTATGTGTGTTGGGTGGGTTGGCATGTGGGGTGCCATGGTTTAAAGCAGTCTGGGAACCACAACTCCAAAGTCTGATTTACTTCAATCATAAGTCAATAACCCGTGGCCCTAACCTCTAGAATCAGGTTTTACACAATAATCCTGATCCATAAACAGATTTCTCAACTATACAAATATACTCACAAGCCAACATAAATTGAGTTAGCTCAGATATGTTATCAAACGTGTGTCTGGAAAACATTCAGTGAGAATCCACTAAGCCCAGCAGCTGGAGAGTATGTGCATGTTAGTGCACATAAGAGTTAAACAAAAGGTCTATCTCTGTAGGGATCCTTTCCATAATGTTGTCAGACACCCAACCGTAGTATATACTAAGGGCTTTGATTACTATAGAGTTTTCTAGGCCCAAAAAAATATATATGCAGGAATTCTAATGTAAAAATGTTACAACAACTACAACGTATTAAAAACAGAACTTAAAAATATAGATATAAATATAGATACAATTTTTCCTTTTCAAAAGAAAATATTTTAAAATAGTTGTATAAACTGACAGAAAATAGTAACATATTTATTTAAGTATTCAAGATATTTTTCAATTGATGTTCT